CATGAAGGGCCATAAAATAGCAAAATGTGATCCAAGATGGCGGATGTGAGAGGCAAATGAAAAGTGAACGTCAYGCCCAGCGACTGAGAGTAGCCTGGGGACAAGTCTATGTTCAAACTAGGTCTTTTTTGTACACATGTTTTCTTCAAAAGTTTTGTTTGCTTCGACTTTTTAAATTTCAAAAAAGACGGTTGGGATATTTTTCGAGATCCTCCAACTTTCCTCCCCTCCTCTGTCTTAATTATGCATCTTTTCCTAGAATATCTTTACTAATGTGACGTAATGTAATTTCCTTGTCTGACCACGTTTCTCTAGAAGGGCGATAGYGTACAACGCAACTGGCACCATCGTATTCTTTAAAGAATCATAACCAACCGCCGMATCTTGCGCGCTCGTGTTATTGTTTACATACGTTTAAATGCGTCAAGCATACAATAGATTATAGATTGATAGTACCTGTGTAGAACTTGGTTAATGGTATTTCTGTCCAAACTGAAAGGACGGAAGACGATTTGCGCTCACTCTAAGAAATCCTCCAAATCCGCCATTTTCGTGTCCTCCTAAAATGGCGCTTCGGCTCGCAAGGTACGGCGGTTGGTTATAATTCTTTAAAGACTTTCAGTTTATATTGGGAAACAGTGAATTATATATACTATGCCAAAAGAAGTTGAGTGAAGAAAAGACAGTATTGTTTTCTTGTAAGTGAAGTTTTTGGGAACCTTAATCTCGCTGTGTACCCGCATACTAGTCTTTGCCGCTTCTCCCTTCGTAAGAGGGAGAAACACCAGAGTAAATTCATGAAAAATCCAAAAATGTTAAMAGCTACAAATTACTACGTAATTTCTCTAGACGCTTTTAGCATTTTGCTTGATTGATAAATCAACAACGTTTTAAGATTTCAAAAAAAAACACGCGACTTTCCGTAAATGCACTCTCGTGTATGGAATCGATATGGAAAACTGTTATTAAATAAGCCACAGTCRGCTGACTAGCCACTCAAAATAAATCCATGCGAGGCACATGGGAAGCACTAGATAATTTTGCTTGCTCGGAGACTCGTATTCAGTATATCTGTACATGACCTTTCAGCCAGAATATCGAAAATGGATGTTTTGTGCGTCGACATATTTTCATTGAATGGATTATAACGCGAATATAGAACAAATATTCCATTATATTATAGCGCAATTCTGACACGCGCGCTGATTGGCGGATTTCACGAGAAAAGCTATGGCTTATTTCGCTGGTAAAACAGCCTGCTGTCTTGAAAGACTTTTGAGTCTAAATGGCGGACGCCGGCTTGGAATGGTTGAGAGAACACTCGAAAAGATGAATCACTCGCCTGACCGTTCGCGATTAATATATCTAGACRGTGTACCTTATTTCTGATCTTATATTAGTCCAAGAGCACCAGCTACGGTCCAAGTCCACCTAATGTTGCTATCACTTTGTCTGCCGATTCAACTAGATACCAAAGCCTTTTAAAGTAACTGATCATGTATTAATAGATTCCAATCTGAGATGTACCGATTGATTTTTGGAAATTGAAATTAGGTTTCGGTAATCCTGACTGAAACTGATTTTGGTTGTAACGGAAATACCTTATATCTTATTATAGCATGTTGTTCTCGAGCCATTAGGTTCGCTATCTCCAATTTAAGTAAAACAAGGATCATACATTTTTTAAATCWGGGATGGAACTCTCAAACATGATCATGTTATCTCGGAAGACTTATCCTCTAAAGAGGCTAAGAGATATATCAAGGAAATTGCGTTTTATGCTTTAGATTTCAACTGCTGACAAAAAAGCTCATTTTTCTATACTTCATTATTGTAAACTATTTGAATCTTGCCCATGTACAATAACATGAGTTGTTCCTAGCTCTCTTGTTAATGTTTTTTTTTTCTACCAGTAAGGGGATTTCCATACAGAATCATCATTAAAAATAATTTGCGTGGATAGTAATTGTCATAAAAGTCGGCTAGACAGCAACGCCATAGAGGTTTTAAAAGCCTTTCAGCGCTAGATAGTTCTATTTTTGAAAGATGAAGACATGTTTAAAAGTGCTTAGTTAGTTTTTTTTTGCCTTCTTAGATTAATCACGATTAACAATAAGCAAGCACATAAGTTCGATTTTTTTTGAAAGTCTACAGGATTTTTTCTTCACTAAAACTCCAGTTTAAGCCAGTATATTTAAGTCACTGAAACCATGAAATGGATATTACACTAATAGACTTGCTATTTGCCTTGTTTTCTTTTGTATCTAGTATTTGACTGTTTCATTTTAATAGCCAAATTTTGGTTCATGGGTTTAGAGTGCCAAGTAAAAAAAACATAAACTTTCATACTTCAAACTTGTTTCACGGWTTTAATAACTTCACTSTAAAAGACAAAGGATTTTGGACAAATTTGCACAATTCTGTTCGCAAAATATGAAGCGGTGGTATAAATGAATGCATTCTACTTTTTATTTCTTATCAAATTCTGCGCATTTGTCTTTCTAGTTTTTCTGCTGCACGTGGCTGATCTGTTAGCTAAGATGGATAAGACTTTGTAGATAGTATCTATTTATAAAAGTGCAAGGCGGTGAACGTGATTARAAAATCTCTGACACAGAGACCCATTGTACGAATCTAATGAAATTCTCGCCTTCGGTAAATTACACAAGAGAATCATTATATTTTGATAAACGGAAACGACGATAACGGTTTTTTTCTCTATCTTACGATAAAACATTGACATAAAGCAATAATATATCGAGGAAAGCAATGTTCATCCGAGGAAAACAKATCGCGATCTGTCATTGGTCAACCGGTAGGCATTGTCATATGGCACAAAAATTCGTGCTACGATTGGTTATCAGTKGKAGGTCACATCTTTTTGTTGTTGCTGCTGYTGTTGTTGTTGTTSKTGYYSKTGCTGTKGCTGTTGCTGTTGTTGGTGTTACTGCTGTTATTGCAGTTGTTGTTTTTGCTACTTTTGTTGTTGTTGATGTTATTGTTGGTGCTGCTATTGTTGTTGCTACTGCTGTTGTTGCTGCTGTTGTTGTTGTTGCTACTGTTGTTTTTCTGCTGTTGTTGCTGTTGTTGTTGCTGTTGCTGTTGCTGTGTGTTCATGTGACCAAATGACAAGCCAAATGACCTGATGCATTGGATATGGCTTGGACTACGTATGCTAGACTGTCTTTTTTATGTATACGTGGTTCTAAGTAGACATTTGTTACCATTTTTTAATATTGCATAAATCGTGCACATATTCTTTCATTGTAGTTGTACAATTTTCTTAAAATAGATGATCGATTTTCAAAGTAATCATTGTTCGTTCAGTTTATATATCAAATTACGATCATAACTATGTACAGCCTTTTGCACAAATTATGAGACATTTTTATATATATAAATATACAGCCTTTTGCAAAAATTATGAGAATTGTCTAAATATCTAAATATCATAATATCCATATCCATTATTGTCCGGAACACGCGGGTTTGCTAGAATAATTCATTGTTGACATCGAGAAAATGTTCAGAACTACGGATAAGTCTGTCGCCGAAAAAAAAATAAACTACAAAGACAAGGGACTAAGGGCATCGCGCGGGATTACCCATCATGCACTCGATATTATGATATTTAGATATTTCGACAATTCTCATAATTTTTGCAAAAGGCTGTACCTAACCAAATATCAAAAACACCCAAGAAATTATGGGATACCGTCGCTGATATTTTGTCTGTAACAACCTGATGCTAGGCAATCATGACAAAATATAATAGAGATATACCATAATTTCTGGGGTGTTTTTGATATTTGGTTAGGTATATTTATATATATATAAATGTCTCATAATTTGTGCAAAAGGCTGTATAGAACTAAAATACGGTAATATAAAATATAAAAACTAGAAACTGCTCAAACCTTTGCAGACAACAGTTTGCTCATTCTTGTTTCCAAAAATCCTTGAATGCATCCCACTTAAAGTTAGAGAAAGGTTTTAAAGATATAGATCCATTTTAAACTAACTTTKCTCCAACGAAATTCAGATCTCAAATCGGAGAAAAAATGGAAAGTCTCTTGCTAGCTTACTAATGTGAATAAAACAGTCTTCGTGGAGGGTTGCTCACGACCTTTAGTCGCCAAAATCGCTGTAATTTGCTTTTTAGTGGTTCAGTGACGTAGTACACAGGTTGCTGTGGTTGRATTGTAAACAAAAGAAAAATCCTGATATTATTTACTGTCCAGGATACCTTTGTTAATTATTTGTATTGTTATATGTGATTTGTATAGAGCCACAAACTCTAAGTATCAAAGGCTTAAGTATTTCTAAATGGATTCGAGGAGGGYAAGGCGCCACCGATATGACAGTAGTAGAGTATTGTTCTCGATGAAAATTAAAAAAGTTCATTGAATGGCTCACTCAAAGTGACGTAACTTTTTTTTCTTGGAATGACCTCATTTTTGTKCTTATCAGTTACCGCAGACAGCCAACAAAGAACGTCACRGAACCGCTAAATTTGCCACTGGTAATGTCTGTCAGAAAACCTTCTATGTATTAGTCATAATAAAAATCRCATATGCTTTTTTGAACAAAACTATAAAAGAAACCGTATAACTTTGTCTATAAATCCCATGTGGTATCATTGTAAAGTAGACCAAAGATTGGACGAAGATGGGGATCAGATAGTAAAACCCAAAAATCCTTTTGAGATTATTGTCTACTTTTCTGAATCTTTTTTTTTTTTTTTTTTTTTTTTTTTTTTTTATGGTGAAGCCATTTCATCACGCGCTTAGCAAAACGTTGTTTTTAGTCTAGTTCTCGTGCTTGTTTATTTATGTAGAATACTCCACAAAATCTGTTTAGTGTTTTCTTTGTTAAAATGTAGCACATCTTTATATCTTTAAGCTGAAAATTTAATTAGCTCTAATTTGGCAGCAATGTAGAGAACAAGCTTGCCTTTCTTAAAAAACAAAAAACACAAGAACTTTCAAGAAAAAAAAATACTTTCAGCACTTGACGTGAGCAGTTTAGTATCTGGTATCACTGTAATATGAAAGCTGTTGCACAGGTTTACGGCAAGTGCCTTTTTAAGCCATGTTAGTTTCTACGGAACTCTTGATGACAAGATACACTGAAAATCGTGAACAAAAGCATCGGCCAGGGAGCAGCTACTCTTGCTCAACAACAATAATTCAATTATGACCAGRCAATGTGGCAAAAGGTCCCTTTTTTGAAATCCTATTAAGTGTTTATAGAGAATCCAAAAGCAATTAATAATACTAGGTAAAAACCTTGCTAACCTGCGCTCGAAGAAAAGTCTTATAAACCTGAACCACTTCTTATCAGCGAAACCTCATAATTTGTTTTTGAATAAGCTAAAATATGGTAATGTGCTATGCAAGCAGTAAATGCGGCTAAGTCAATTAATCTTAGTAAAAAAAATCTGACTTTATAGACTCATTACATAGTCTCTCACAGTTACTCACCCGATAGCTATTTTCTTTTCTGGTGTCTGTTTTCTGAGAGGAGCTAGTGTTTTGGTGTTCTAATGAGAAAAAGATAAAAAACTTAAGCATAAGGACCCTTTATAGCGTATGACCCTTGAGCAATCAGTTATTTAAACTAAAAGGGGATATTCATATATTAAAGAACTTTCTAAAAGACTCCATAGCAGAAAAAAAAACTGTATGAGAAGCCTTTAAATATCGTACGGCCCTTGAGCAATTAGTTATATTAGCTAAAAGGGAGTTTATAGCGAAGAACCTTCTAAAAGACTCGTTCAAGAGTTCTTCGACTCGAGTACTTWAAAACCCGTTTATAAACCCGTCCTGCAGCTATAGACTTCAAAACAAACCATTGACGGCAGGCCTTTTCACTTGTTTCAAGATCTCTCGGACGTTACTAAGAATTTAKATTAGAATATAAGTGGGGCATACAGGTATGTTAGTCTCCAGTGCGCCTCATCTCAATTCACTTTGCTGAAGCAAGAAGAAGTTATTCAAAGACAATTCTATTTACAATTGAACTTACATCGTAGTGTACTGTCCATTTCACTGAACTGGTCATAGAATGAATATGAAAATGAATATTTGTAATTTGATATATGCCACTTAAAATACCACTTGCTTTCTTACAGCTCCTAAAATGATATATAGAAAGCMAGCGGAAGCTAAAAAACACATAAAGATCAAAATTTGTCCAATGGGCGACCTCGTAGGGCCTTATAGTTCAAGCTTACCCAAAATAAACCGTTTATGAATTTCATTAAAAGTTTCAAAGGATACGACGGCGACTGTTTTATTTGGATACTCAACGAAAAAAGCAATAAACCAGATGAGCAATACTGTTTATGCAAAGTTCACTTTCTCAAAGACGGAAATTTAATACCGGGCCAATGTTGTCAGCACTTAGCATAAAGAAGTTTAGAAGGAGAGTCGTTTCCATGGCAAATCCGGAACTTTTAGATGTAAACATCACGCAAAAAATGGTTTAGAAAGTTCTGCAGAAATTTCATTATTGCTTGTTCTGTATGCGGCTTGCTTTTAAGGTTTCCGAGACAATAAACGATGTGTTTTAAGAGAAATTTATAYGAGAGAATGGATTGTGGACTTCCGAATTGTAAAGCTTGTCTTTTTTGGACTCAAATATGGGRATGTTATCGTTCAATACTGTAATATAATCTTCGATATGAGTGTCTTTGATTCGTGCATATTTTTTTCTAGCAAAGGATACCCCCTTGCATCAACTAAAGATATATAAATCTAGCTTTTGAAGAGGCGCACGCGCRAACACAGCACTAATCTTATGACATAAGACATAATTACATTAGCAAAAGCAAAATAAGGTAAAAGAAAGATAAAAAAWTKCAAAAYGTGGGAAAACTTTTTTTGGTGAGTTTTGCTTTGCTTGCGTTGTTGAAAACAACGATAGGCTTAAAAAGTTTGTTTAAATTTTAAGATTATTACAGCAAGCTCATAAATATTATATACGACGTCACGATTAGCATAGGGGACTGAATACAATAGGACTCTTTCGATACTCTTGCTTAATGGSCATGCACAAAAGAATTAAAGATGAGGTCCTGGGAATAGAAAAATATTATCCGGTTTTTTTCCCTCTGAGCCTCGTTTTCAATTCTTTTGTGGCTGTTTTTTAACCCATATATGGAAAGTCTGCTATTAATGAAAAGTCATAAAAAAGGTCGATATATTTTATTCTGTGTAAATTGAAAAATGACCTTAGTTTTATTTGATAAACACTTGAATGGAATTGATCGCAACACCTGGTTTGATCTTAATAGCCAGTATAGAGCATGTTATCGTTTTAACGGTTACGAAGAATACGTCAGTACTCTCCACACGCGCGTAGGACGAGTATTCTAGACATATTTTCCGCGTATTTTGGTTTACCTAAGTGGAATATAAGTAGTTAATCTAGTACTGAACAAGCCGTCGTCAGTTTTTTTTTTCGTATAATCTGAAGTAGGGACATTCTGTTGATCCAGTTGACATTGACATTCATTTTTTTCATTTTGCTTGATATGTTGCCAAGACGACACCAAGGAGCGCGCTGATCTCTATATCATAATTATTTCATTACAGAACTATTGATCCTGGAAAATTTTAGTTAAAACTCCTAAAAAATGCTCAACGTAAACTTTACTACTATAAGCCTGGCTAGAATTGATTTTGTCTGWCCAAACAGCGCCTATAACGAACATAAAATATCTAAAATGCGAAAACTTAACTTGGTAGACACCAACGAGAATATTCAAGGAACTTACACAGTCAAAGTCAACAGGGAATTTGAATCCGGAAATGAGTTCTGATTTGATAAATTTGAAAATCAAATATATTTTCCAGAGAGTCTAGGTGTTTTTTTTTTTTTTTTTTTTTTTTTTTTTTTTTTTTGAGCTACTAAGAGCAAAAACACCGGCTGCTTTACTGACAGCGATGACTAAACGATGCTATGAACTAATTATTTATCGATTTAAAACTATGGAAAGGTTGTGGTAGAARTGTTTTAAGGGTCGTCTGAAGATAAGAGGAGAGAAGGCGTTAATTTTTAAAGACTTTGTATTAGCATACTCAAATTATAAGCGAAAAGAAAGTGAAAATACTTTGTATAGTGATATTGAAATAAAGAAAGTGAGAAGTACGATATGGAAGTAACTATAGGGGTAAACGCAACAATATTGTAGCCTTTTCTGTAGGATCACTATCCGATAATCAAAGACTTTTATCCGTTAGCTGTGAAAAACATCAAATTTCCAGAAAAAAAATTGATTTCTTGAATCCTAAATTATTCTATAAAGTACGACTAAAATGATCGTACACTAATAATTYATATCTTGTCTTCCTTGTGGTAATAAAAATATGGAATATTTTATAAATGCCGCTAACCTTTGATTTCTTGACTCCACCTTGTTTTATCTATCGATATAAAGTCTTCTTTTGAACCTGATCTCGACCGTGTGTTAGTAAGTCTGTTTGCTTTACAGATATAATTCATAGAACTAGTGTCACCACTCAAGGGCATATCGACGTCATTACCAACTAATTTATTTATCATTCTAATAAAATTCATCAGCATTTCAACGCTTCATTTTCAAGAGAGTTTTATTGAAAAGTTGTATTGAGAGTTATTGCATTTGAAAGTCCCCTATTGAATTTTTTTCTCATGGAAAATTAATAAACTTAGTATTAGGTTTACGTCTTTATTACCACAGAAATTTAATTGATCTGAAAACATTATATATTAATGTACGTAGGTTTGCTCGTGTCATTTGCACGTGTAAACTTTTTTGTTTTYTGATAATTATGTTTTCAAAGAATAGCTTGTCAAGTGATCTCGAGAACTAAGCTCTAGACGCCGTTAAATCATTCCTTGAGAAAAGGGATTTCTAATAAAGTTTTCATTAAAGTGCTGTTTGAAAAAAAATGGCAAGGTTTTGACAAATCTGCTTAATAAAATTATTTGTTGTGCGTGGGTTGATTTTGTGTGGTATTCATTTTTATTAATTTGCGCTCTCATTCACTAAGCGATGTTGACGCGAGTTCAAAAAAACTTTGTTTTCGTCAATTTTTATAAGAATTTCTTTAGCTACTCCATTTTAATCATATTCAATAACTATGTTTTAATGTTTAATTTTTTTAATAACTGTACGACTGTTGAACGACTAGAGCTTTAATCATTATATGCACGCAAAATCTCTGTAATTTGTCAACTTATCCCTTTTAGATGTTTTCAGTTAAAAACTTCTTTAGCTTTTACTCCATTTTAATGATATTTAATAACTATTTTTTAGTGCTTAATTTTTTTAAATAACTGTAAAGACTGTTGAACGAGTAGAGCTTTAATCATTATATGCACGCAAATCTCTGTAATTTTGTCCAACTTATCCCTTTTAAATGCTTTCAATTACGTCATATAAACATCTAGTCGCCGATAGGAATTGCCGATGGGCTGTTCAAAGATGAATGAAAATATACTTATAAAGATGACACGATTTTCTCGKATATATCCAATTACAGAACCGCGGCGTATTGTAGATGTAAAATGCACAAGTTCGCTGATTGGCTGGTATCGTACGTTCTATTTGCGTATGCATCTCAATAAATACCAGGAATGCTAGTGCTCAGATTTTTGTGGTCTCCCACCTTTATAACACCATTGACAGAGATACGCTTTATCATATCAAAGTCAACTTTCTGTCTGCGCTCTAACTAGAGGTAAGCTAGGTTGATTTTTTACAATGGCAAAATGGCTGTAAATAGGTGTACCGTTTTCTAAAAYACTTCGACTTTTCGACGAGTACACAGCCTKGTTCTTTATCGAAAAGACTGGAAATRCTTTGTGGTTGAGCATTCGTTAACTGGACGAGAACTATGCTCCCTTTCAACTTATAAACCGTGAACTAGAAAKCAGTCTGAGTAATAMTGGTATTTKGATAAAATGTTTTGATAGATTTTCACAAGGAATTTTCTTCARAGCAATCGAGTGTTAAGTTGCGTTAACGAATSCAGGTTATTTTATAAACCGCATCTTTTTTCGTATGCTTTAAGACGTATCGTTTATTGAATAAGCTTGCTTGAAAGAGCTAATCAAATTCACTTCAAAATGCGTTTAGCTTATTATCTATATACAGCGCATAACAATTTTCAAGAAAAAGGAATAAAGAGAGACTGAGAAAGTGAGAAAGTGTGAGAGACATTTACAAGAAAAAAAGGAATGGAAATGAAAGAATAAAAGGAAAAAAGGGAGAGAGATGGAGCAGAGAGATAATTTTTTTTTAAGAATAAAAGTGTAGAAAGAAGTGCTACATTCAAAATTCAATTTAGCTTTTTATTACGCCTTTCTCAGTTGTTTGTCATTTTGCAGTATTAWCTACAAATTATTTTCAACGCTGACACTGTCACATGTCAAAGTTATTACTCTAGACAAAATATAGTTTCGCCTAGACAATGTGCGGTATTAATAA